GGTCGAAGCACCTCTGACCATATATTTGCCCTGCGCCAGATTGTTGAGAAATCATGGGAGTACGCCCAGCGTGTAGGTGTACCTGTGTTTTGTGGACTTAGAGAAAGCGTATGACCGTATCCCACGCAACAGTCTGTGGACATGCGTTCTTGCATACGGGATTGATGGCAAGTTGCTAAGGGCCATCCAATCACTGTATTCTGATAGCAGGTGCTGTGTCGGAGTTAATGGCGTTAAGTCGAAACCATTCAACGTTCTCACTGGTCTCCGCCAAGGCTGTGTCCTGTCCCCTATCCTGTTTGTGTTGTACATGGAGAGAATAGTCAGGAGCTGCCAAGGCGATGAGGGTATCGGTATGGGAGATGTGAAGTCGAGAGGGTTGCTGTTTGGAGACGACCTTGTTTTATTAGCATCTTCTGAAACTGAAGACTCCAGGGTTCCATAGAAAAGTTCGCATCCGAGTGCGACGTGACCGGCATGCGTGTGAACGCATCTAAAACGAATAGCTTGATGCTTTCTCGTTCTCCTGCCCGTTGCTCTCTTTAGATTAACGGAGAGGCAGTGGAGCAGGTGAAGAAGTTCAAGTACCTCAGAACCATATTTACAAGTGATGGAAAATTGTAGGAAAAATCGACTGGCGAATTGGAGTAGCCAGTAGTGTTCTGCATCAACTAGCCCGATCTACTGTGACTAAAGCAGAGCGTAGTCTGAAAACTATGCTCTTCGTGTTCAAGTCGATCGTTATCCCGATGCTTACCTACGGTCATGAGTCATGGACCATGACTGATAAACTTCAAACCCGGGTACAAGGTGCTGAAATCGGCTTTTTGAGATGAGTCGCTGGCTTTACCCGTCTCGACATGGTCCGGAATAGTGGCATTCGGATAAGCCTTGTATACAGCCTTTGCTTGTCCAGGTTAAGAAGTCAGGGCTACGTTGGTTTGGCGATGTGTTGCGAATGCCTCCAGAAGAGAAGGCTAAGCAACTTTGTTGGGAATCAGACCGGCAGAAGGTCCAGGGGACGGCTAAGATTAACCCGGTGCAAATATGTGGAAGGAGTCTGTTTCATACTCCGGAGGCCCAGGGGACGGCCAAGATTAACCTGGTGCAAACATATGGAAGGAATCTGTTCCAGACGCATTTGTCTTGTTTGCCGAAGCTCAGACTCTGGCACAGGATCGGGAACGTTGGAAGCACTGTCTGACGCGTCTGCCTCCGCGACCGGAAATTAGAAGCGGCGAAGGATGATGAAGATGAAGAAGATGAAGGATGGTGTATACAATTTTCACAAATTTAGTTAGCTTTTCCTCGACTGAACAGTAATGAGGCTCGAAGCAAAAACGTTGTGTCCAGTGATTTCACCATATTAGTTTTGGTTTGCTGTCGCAGTATTTTTGATTATAAGTTTGGAATTCCGCAGCTGAGACACTGTAGGTAAATTTGTTAACGCCTGAGTCTGTCGAAGTTCTTTGTGCTCAGAAATTTTGAAACCTCACGGATTGATTGTGCTAACTCTCGCTGGGATGAATCCCATAACAAGAAATGGCGACAAGTGGCTCTTGCAGCCAGTTATCGTTGGCCATTAATCTAAATTTATCAGTTTATTATGATCATCGTCATGATTCGTTTCTCTCTGTTCTTTTCTTTCTGACGAATACTTCGTTTTCTAACTGTCAGTGCATTTGCGGAAACGTTAATCACAAAGGGTTCAAGTTTGTGGCATTTAAGCCTGTATTACCACCAATAACTGCAGACAACGAAGAGCAACACTGTGTAATTAGTTGATCATCATCCATGCAGAGGTTTTCTGCTGAACCATGAGATTTCACTAGAACTTTTTAGAGTAGATTTCTGATAAGTTATAGGCGGTTGGGCACGGTTTTCTAATGATTCACTACACACTGCTTAGTTGCCTGTATGCGTGCACAACTGTTCCAGTGAACAACATGATCAGAAGGAGATCCCACTGCTGGCAGCCAAACATTAGTTGGTCATTTTGGCTCTCTTTTGATTGGAATGGTATTCAGTTTACGTGATGTATACTCATTGCCTCTCTATGTCTCGAACATTAAATCATACATTACATCGTTATTTTGCTGCTGCTAGAGATGTGTACGAGGGATTTCTCACGATACTGCAATTGAAAAAGGAGCGTAAAACATCGTTTCTAATACACAACGAATAAGATACTGTGTTCAGTACGGTGACTGACCAGTACCGACGATTCGGCCCGTGTATAACGGGCCTTCTTCACAGTAGGTTGATGGTGAAGTTTCGTGAATGTTGTTGGTTGTCCGAAACCTTCTGGCTCCGAAACTATCGACTGCTATGGACGACCAGTCACATTCAGGAAACTTCACCACCAACCTATCTTGAAGAAGTCCTGTGAGACACGGACAGATCGTGGATACTGGTCAGTGACCGGACTGACCACAGTTTTTTTGTTGTGTGTAAATAAACAGTTTAACGCTATCGGCGCATGAACGATATTCTGTATTTGTTACTGCAGTTTTACCGTTAGGTCGTTTGCATATTGTGATTCAGTCGTCGTTCTTGTTTTGTGCATAGAGGTAATCGTTCTGAGCATTTTCAGGTCTTGAATGTCAAAGAAGCGCGTTATTCCGTCACGAGGTGGCGTTCGTGCTGGGACAAATTGGATCTAATGTTGCCGTGCCCCAGTTGGTCAAGAGTTTAAGTGACACGACAGAGAACGAAATGGTACGTCATGAGTGCGCAGAGGCACTCGGAGCGATAGCCAATGACGATTGCAAACCTGTGCTTCAGCGATACCTAAACGACCCTAGTCGAGTGGTTAGAGAAAGCTGCGAAATCGCCCTCGACGTTTGTGATTATGCAAACAGTTGCGAATTCCAATATGCTGATTTGCTGACTGTTTCGACTTAGTTTTGTAATGCAAGGTTGCTTTGCTGAACTGTTTTGTATGCCGAGCACCCGACGAAAGCAGCTTTTGACTACATTCAAATATTGTGCTCTGGCAGTGATGCTGTAAGGTTCCCATATCTTGAAATGGTCTCATGTGAAACCGTGATTGCGACAGAGAGTATTTTGCTACTAGTACAAACATGTTATTTTGGATGTCTACGGTTAGACTACTCATAAACATTTTACTAGCTAACGTTTCGTTCATAGAGCTAAACTTTCATGGAAGAGGAAGAGGAAGAAGTTCAGTTCTTTATTCAGCTAAAGTAAAGTCTGATAAATGCTGGAAAATAGAGCATTTAACCTAGGAGGTTTATATAAAAATGCGATAGTGGAAACGTTAGATACTGTTTTCAGAAAGGTATGAAGGTTGGCAATTTATTGTGGCTGAACAGTGCTAATCCATAAGTGATGCGTTATGTTTTTATCATTAGTGCGTTTCTCCATTAACTTTGTGTTCTTCCTCTATTAATATACAACCGTGGTTTACCTTGAACCATCTGCACAGTGGTGAAGTTTCCTACCTTCGAAAACATGTCAAGTTAAACGAAGTAACAGTAGCCAGAGTAATGAAATTTTGCATTAGTGAGTTGAGAAATAACCAGTGGAATATTTTTTAAACTGTTCCCTCTGCGCCATAAGATTGCAGGCGCAGAGTATGAGCTTTTCGTATAGCAAAAGTAGTGCCAGTGGCAGATGGCAATTATTGTTTCACTGAAGTGTGCTTAATTTTGCTGAAATAGAGATCCTTACCAAAACAGTCATCAACCAGCTTAAGTGCGGAAGAAATGACAAGCATTTGACTTTTAGGAATTCATTGAATACCTTTGAAGCAGCTCATTAATGCCCGGGAGTCGTTGCGTCTGCACTGAATCACAGAGTTGCCGCTGTTTAGGCAATATTCATTGATTTGCCAATGTGCCAAGAGGTGTCCTCTTGAACAAGGCATATAGAGCAGGATTTTCTACGTCCATGCTTCGTTGGCGAAAAAATTATTGTTCAGACTGATAACAGTGTATTTCCGCTACTCGTGCGGAATAATTTCAGTTCTCAAACGCGATGGACTTCAGCTTTATGATTGTAAGTTTATTCGTTTATACCCGAATGGCGGAAAATCTGTTTTTAATAAATAATAATCATCCAATAAACAATAAGTGTGTTTCGGCCCATTGTGCTTGCGCTTTCTGCTGATTATCACAGTCATCAGAAGGGTTAAGGCAATTTGCAGCCATTAAGGGAGATCGCAGGAAGATATCACGGCCGTGCATCTCCATTCTCCTATGACCACAGGCTAATACCTTGTCTGTATTATTCGAAAGTCAACGAGTCATACAGTTTTCGGCTGGCTGCCCAAACGCTACATGATATGATTTTTTGATCAAGACAAGTGTTATAATCAGTCTATTAAAAAATAAAAATTATCCAAATTCTTCAATCGAACCAGCACCATCGGAAACGAAAACTGCGGTGTAAATGCTGTGTACTATACCGTGCAGAGCGTTCATCCGATAGAGACAAATTTTGGAGGACAATGTTCTTCCATTTATGTTTAAGTATGAAATTAATGTTCAACTAAAGGAACGTTTCCTGACTTATTTCATTGAAAATGTAGTCTTTTAAACTTCATTCATGCTGGTTTGTGTAAAACGAAGTTATTCGTGCGTTTTCACAAATAATTAAGCTTGAAAATCAGATGCGTTAATACTCTCCCGTCATTTAGAAGTTGGTAGCAAACTGCTTATTTCTGTGATATTTGCAAGTTTCCTGTAGCATTGTGAATATTTAATGGTTTAACATGTAACGCGTTGAGCGCATTTCGTTTTTATTTTTCTTACTGAATCTTATTTTTGTTAGTGTATGCGAGACTTATCAGAGGTATATGCCTGTTGTACTCTCCCCGTCATCCGTAAGAGCTGTTTACGTTTCGCAGTTGCTTTAGTGGTAGGTTTCGTCAGTTGTAACAATCTTGGCAAAGTTGTAACAACATGTGCTTGTAAATCCGCCACCTGCTGATCGTGTTTAGACTTTGGTTTTAGTGTCATAACAGGAGCTTTAGTTTGCCTGTTTCTGACAAATGAATAATTCGTTACGTTGATCCAATGTGCAATTCTTTGATACGTTATTTGAGCCAGTCAGTTGCTTGGGTGAATTTCGACAATGAGAAGTTTTATGCACCAATGTGGGGTGTTCAGTTCGCAGGATCGAACGACCACTTTTAAAATGAATGGCGCTTATGAAGAGTGGTTTGAATTCTGTAACGTGGTTCTCTTAACAGCGAATTCACTTAAACACGAAATTTAGCCCTGTTTCAGGGCCACCAGCCGAGAAATGATTATAGACAACGTACTGTTCGGGTGTGATCGTACCAACACTGGTGAAAGGCACGTCTATTCTGTCAGATGATAGCGCCTCTTAGTACTGCCGTTATCCTTAATTCACCCAAAAGATGAGTACGCAGATGTAGATGTTTTTTCAGGTTTGACGTAGACGGAAGCCGAAATCAAATTCGAATCTTACTTCAGCAGATCGGCACTTTGCTGAATTGTTTCTTCAGAAAATGTTAATTACGCCTCTTTCGCTTTTCAATGATTGTGTCAACTACGGTTATGTCGTTTTCTGTAATTTTAATGACATTAGGATCATTCTGTTTCCTAAAAGCTAGACGGAGAGCGTGTTTGTCATGTTCTTCATACTTAAATACGTTATAAGCCCCAAACCTTTTGTCATCCGTTGTGTTCAGGACTCCATACTGCAATGCAAATTTGTCTAAGGGATTTCAGGAGTTTTGCCAGCTGTCAGTAGCAAGTAGCCTGATCAGCTAACCGTTTCGGTTTCATGTCGGGCTTTTAGTTTTACCGAAACTGCCAATCATGCTATGAGTGATCGATCGCTAACAAATCTCGTTGAACCTTTAAGACAAGTCTTTGTCTGTGCTCAGAGCTACTTTCTTCAAGGCGGATTTATCTTCAAGGGGTTAAGGAGATTTGTTAGCCATCGATAAGGCATAGTCTGAGCAGCTGACAGTTTAGGTTTTATGCTGTCCGGCGACTATTATTAAAAGGACTTCTTTGATCAGGAAGCATTCTTGTTGATCGTCGGCTTTCTATAGGTCAATGATTGATGTGTCAGTCTCGAACTACTCAGGCTTTTTTAAACAGTTCGTAATAATGACAAACTTTACAGGTTTTATTGATTTTTTGTTGTCTTTCATTAAGCGTTTTAATTGTCCATGATTGTTGAACCACGTCCTACGTGACTTTATTGATTTCATTATAAGGTCAGATCATTGTAGACTCAACAAATAAGCGAGATTTTCGAGACGTGTTTTATTTCGCTATCTGAGATGCACATAATTGCACTGATGTGAAT